AAAATGACAGTATCATAAAGTATGGACAAAAAGTAAATAAGAGAATAAAAAAATATGGATATTACTAGTATATTTGCGCGGAGCCTTAATTAACACAATGTAATTAGCCCACTGGTTTGGCAAACTCTTTCCTAATGGGTGACTCTAATCAATAAGTCACATTCAGATTGTCCGACTCCTCTCCAGGAATGGAGTTACTCGCACGTTTAAAGAGTGATTTGTAAAATATCCATAAAGAAATAGTAAATCTGTTTACAGTTCTGTTTCAAATGGGTGTTGAGAGATGTATCCATATCTCTTAATGTTGCTCTCAAAGTGCACCAGATTGACAGATGCTCCCGGGGGAGCATGCCCCCGGACCCCAGAGGATGTTAGGTCCAGTGCAGTGCCCACTTATAAAAATAGCACTTTACCCCTGCTTACACCTATATGCCGTGAGCTGATTATCGAGCCTTCATTGTAACAGTCGCGGATACACTGTGTGTGTGGGGAGTGTTGCAGTTCAAAATTCAACTGTAGCGACCGGTACATTAATGGGAAACCCTAAATGTTAAATAAATAAATAAACCCCCAAAAGAAAATATCTGGCGCCGCCACTGAGCCTGCAACCCCGTTTTGAAGAAATGTGCAGTGCAAAACAGGCTCATTGTAGCCACTGTGATAAGACACACTTTTTTGCCAAAAATAAACATTTTCTTTCGCTTAATATTTTGGCAGAGATTGCAAAGTATTATAACTTATTGTTCTAGTAAAGGGATTGCACAATTGTATTTATTTTTTGGAGCACACAGACTTATGGAGCATTGTTTTATTATCACTGTTCTAGCAAAGTGTTTTTTTTTATTGTTTTGAAAGGAATGCTCACGTTCATATTGATGTATTTTAATAAATGTTAACTTGGCCCATTACGTGACTATTTGTGTTGGGGGGGCCATACTTTTGTTTTTTTTACAAAGGGGGGGCCTGACAAAAAGTTTGAGAACCACTGTTCTAGGGGCACCTTGTAGGCTCTGAGTCAGGGCATAAGTACTACTTTCTGCTCACATAAACAAGACAAGACAAACAAAAGTCTATTGTCACAATGTGTGGTGAGCCTAATGGTCACATCAGCATCCTTACATACTCAGAGTGAAAATGCTTCTATGTTCATGTTAAGCAGGAATATTTATTGTTCACCAATGTAGTTTAGTGTGTTAGGCCGGGTACCAACATGCTCATCAGTAGGACACCTCTGACTATAAGCAGATGCACCTGATGGTAATTAACAACTCAATGAAACTGAAGTACCATTGCTAAAGTATGGTGTAGTTTGTAACTGTTGATTCCAAACAACCCTTCAAAACACCAAAGTCTCACAAAACCATAAACAAACTAATAAATCAAGGCAGAGGTTGAAAGCAACTCTTGTGTTCTCCGTGGTCAAATTACTTTTTTTAATCAATGGTGTCTCGTGGCTTTGAGAAGATCATAGGTGGCAGGTGTCAGGCAACCAAGTAGAAGTGTGAAAAATCTTTTTAATATACTATTCACCATTATATGTGTCTAAAATTGAATTTGACCACGTCGACATCAGTACATTCCTTAGCTTACTTACAGTAACTCCTGTCTGTTTGACCAAACTGTGAGCATGCCAACCAACGTCTACTGTTGGTAATACATTGACTATGGATACGTTTCATAAACAAATCTCCTTTAAAAGTTCTAAGTATCCCTTTAATATGACATAGCCCAATTATCTGTTTTCTCTTAGAAAGGAAAAAGGAAAACATTTAATTGATTTGCTATGTAAACCCATTTGGTATTCCCCGACTTTGACAACACGCACCCCATGCTTCTCATTTTTTCCTTTAGTTAAATGCAATGTTTGTATTTTATTCTCATCAATAATTTGCAGTAAAAAATTGTAATTGGTTTGATTGGTATATGGTGACAAACCAAAATCTTCAACAAAATGTCAATGTCACCGTAGGATGGTAAAAGAAAGATTTAGAAGGATTAAAGTTATCAAAGTTCGTCCTCTGGAGACCATGAGTGTTTCAAACATTCATGATAATCCACCCACTAGTTGTGAAGATGTTTTAGTTACGACTGACCAACAGACCAGCATTGAGCCACAGAGCTAGCCTGCACGTCCTCCATACTGTAGAAACAGTATTAATACTAATCATGAGACTTACATTAGAGTGATTATCTCCCGGTACAGCTGTGCAGCTGAGGAAATTAGATGTAATGTATTTAATTTTTTTCCTACACTTGAATGGAAAATAAAGCTTAGCATACTGTAAAACCCCAGTTAATGCCTCGCCAAACCCATGGCCATCCATCCAAGGATTAAGTGGTTACGCTCTCCACAATCACAGGCACACGAGGTACTAATTAAGATGGGATATGAAAGAGTAATAAAGGGTTTATGAAGGATAGCCTGCTATAGCATATTTGTGAGTGTTTGCATGAGCTTGTGTCTGCTCTGCGTGTTGTACTTGTGCTGCTAATGCACTGAAAGCCTGTGGGCCCTGGCCAGCTCGGCCGCGTGCTCATCAGTAAAATGGCAGAGTGAGTGAATAAGCCTTGATTGACCAGATATCGTTCATTACACATGTGCTGTCAAATCCTTCCTCTCTCCTTGGAGCAATTCTCAGAGGCACAGGCTTGTTACAGCCAGCAAGGCAGTGACATTCACATCCCAAAAATGGAACGGCTTAGATGAGCTTTTTGAATATTTTCTCCAAGTTGTGATACTTCATTTCAATATGTTGATAAGTAGATAATAATGGGGAATGGTAAGTCAGGGGCAAGATTGTTTTGAACTCGGGGCTTGCTTGAATTCAAATGTCAAAATTACAATTCCTTGATCATGTTTGGTCTGACATTTTTACTGAAAGCTGAATCTTTCTCTAACAGGGGCATTTTGAAACGTTCAAGCTGTCGTCCTTGTGGACCTGAGGATGTTTCGCAAGAAGAAAAAGAAGAGGCCCGAGATTTCAGGGCCTAAGAACTTTGAGCACCGTGTCCACACCTCGTTTGACAACAAGCGTGGCTGCTTTGTGGGCCTACCGACACAATGGCAGAGCCTGATAGAGAACCTGCGCAGGCCCAAACCCATGGTGGACCCTTCGAGGATCACAGAGGTGGAGCTGAGGCCAAAGAAGGTACACCACACCTCCACACCAACTCTTTATTGATCCTCTAACCTTACCTTGAACCGATTATTAATGACTAGTACATAGTTCGACTAGGAACATCATTCATTCGTCGTTAGTTGTCTACATAAAATTATCTCAGAGAGACTAATGCATAAAGATATCTTATATTTATGCAGAAGTGTCCTTCTGTGCTGCAGAGTGATCCTGCTGTCTCAGAACATGCCATTATCCTCTGATGACAACTTGGAAGGAAGGCCTGCTCCCTTTCCTATATTTTTGCTTTCTTATCTATCATGGGGCTGGGATAATGACCATGCTGTGTACACTGACTGTACAATGTTGAATACTCAGAGGGGCCACAAGATGTATTACTCCATGGAGGCAATTAATAACAGTTCATGGTGCCTTCCCACAAATGTCAAGCAGGAGGGATAAAAAAAAAGTGCAGGTACAGCAGTGGAAATGCCAGTTAGTGATAAAGCCTGCAAATCTCAGGATTTCTATGCTTCATGTAGCATACGGTCGATTCTGTTTGTGACCCCCCCCCCCAAATTATATAAATGTAGAAAACACCAACTTACTAGATCCCTAATGAAGTGATTGGTAGTGTTCAATAGGAGTTGCATATTGTCAGCTTTTAGGTCAGATGTATGGTTTTAATAGCGTCATCAAGATTGCGGTGTTACCTACAATAACCTCATAATGCACTTCAGACTCAGATTTCACTGATAAAGAGAACAATGCTGTGTGAAATCTGATAAAATCTCTGACTAGTATTACATAATGTTCATGAATAGGATATATCACCATTTTCACCTGCCACTCTCTCTTCTCAGAGAGGTGCTTTACCTAGGTGAGATGTCATCTGACCTCTACCCCCTGTGCAGATGTAATGGCACTGAACCAGAGAAACAGCAGAGGCTGTTGACTGGCTGTGAACTGAACATGACTCTAGCCCGAGAGACACTAATGAGCCACCATGCACCCTCTCTTACACTTGCAACAGTATCACTACTCTGGCAAAAGATCTTAAGTTTGTTCGATCATTTTCTGTTAGGACAGGTTTGCATTTGCATGCCGGCTTTCTTTGCATTCCATCTGAAAGGCTGGGGTATCATTTATCTGTAATGTCAAAAATGTTGCAACGTAGGAGCAGTTGTAGAGACTCTGACTTTGTTGTGTCTCCTGATAAATTCGTTTAAGTTGCCATCTTTGAAAAATGACAATGATGTCCTTTACAGATTCTCAAGTCTAAATTTAACTCGCCTCTGAGCGATGATTAAGTCACCCTCATTATTCCTTACAGTCCAAAACCTTTCTATAATGTGATCATGGCAAATGCAATGTGATTAAGATAAACGCCTCTCTTCTTTCAGACTATTGTGCGGGGAAGCATGATCGGTCACGGAGACTACATCGCGGCCATGATCAACGAAATGAACCGACTGTCTGTGACCAGTTCAAACTCTTTGAGGAAGAGCAGCCCCTCAGCCAGGAAGAGGGCCCAGTCACTGGGAAGGCTTGGGGAGGTGAACGAAGGAGACACTTACCAGTATGAGGGCCTGACCCAGGATGATGACGACGAGGACGACGAGGACGTGGGTCATTGGAGGGACAGGGCCCGGAACATCCACAGTGAGACCAATACCCCCTACTTGGGCATGAAGAAAAGCATCACTCTGCAGCCCAATGGGATATTGCCAAAAGCCAGGTCCACATATGAAGTCAGCGTCAGCTCCCTGGAGGGACCCTCGCAACCGCTGCAGTCCCAGAACATCCCTGTGTTAAGTCACGGGGCTTATATGAGCGGTGAGGTGGGCAGCGCTCATGAGAGAGTTATATGGAAAAGAGATTTCCAGTTGCCCAGGGGAATGCAACAAAATCAGAGACCTATAGCTTGTTTTTACAGCCCAGCTATGACTGTACAGCAGCCCCAAGGCGATCAGGCTGCTATCACTGCAGAGTCCCGGCCCAACGTACCGATGTACATGCACCCCCAGAACAGCCCCGGGAGGCCGTACTCGTCCTATGACCTGAAAGTAAGCCTGTCGTTGCAGAAGTTCCTTTGCACAATTTCTGTTTCCGTTAAGTGCACTGGTAATACATTATTCATAGAATACACAATATATGCTTATTTAAGCTAACGTTATGTGCATCATATTAATGCTCAACATGTTTTTGCATGAGCTATGAATTCATCAAATGCAAGTTTTTGGTCAGAAAATCATTTCATGCTTAGGTTGTGGAAACTTTAGCGAGGCAGCGTATTGATTGGCTCCACACTAAAAGGTGACTACAGCTCTGGGATTGACTATGTAAATGGTTTCTAGAGTTAAAATATGAAATGTGGGTTTAAAGTGCCAGTGGGGTTGTAAAAGTTAAGAGATGGTGTGTTTGGCGCGGGACACTTGGGTCCGTATAGCAACATCTTTACATGGGTCAAATCAGGTGAAGTGAATGCAGAGTAAGTTGGAAGGACTTGATTTACCTTCACTTTTAAAGCAGGTCTTGAACAACAGGCAACCGGCCAAATCTTTTTCAGCTCCCTCGCTTAATGTTCTCCACTTTTTCTCTTTTATTATACAGGCAGACTCTTCGGTGAGGTACCACTCCGGCTTCTTGCCCACTGGCAACAGCAGTCCTCTTGTGGGCGGCATCAGACCCCAGCGAACGGTGCGCTCGTCGGCTAGCTACACACTTGGCCTGTCCCCTAACATGGGGCTGAGGCCAAATGGGCCAGACCCCTTCCTCAGACACTCCGGATGCCCCAATCTTCCCTACCCCATGCAAGACAGCCCTTCCCAGCCTCGACCCTCCCCAACAGGCTCTCTAGCCACCAGTCCTCCAGGCACTTGCTCCCCTGCTTTCAGGCCCCCACTACATCCTTCACCAAGACCACCGCCAGACCCACCAAAGGTGACCCATGAACAGTTTAAGGCGGCTCTGCAGATGGTGGTGGACAAGGGCGATCCACGATCTTATCTGGAGAACTTTGTGAAGATTGGGGAGGGCTCGACGGGGGTAGTGTGTATCGCTACAGAGAAGCACAGCGGCAGGCAGGTGGCCGTGAAGATGATGGACTTGCGGCGGCAGCAAAGGAGAGAGTTGCTCTTCAATGAGGTACAATGTTCACTTTGTGATTCCCACAAAAACGCGACACAAATTGCCAACACATAATGCTTTAAGATTACGGAAACAGATTTGAGGTCCAGCATATAAAGAACAGTTCCTCTTTTTAAACCTCAAGTTAATTTCACAGGAATGTGGCTACATGGGTTGTACTCACTTTGCATTCCCCTCCACTTTTGAAGAGGAATGGGCAAGAAAGGACTTGCACAAGACAGCCTTTACAGGGCGAAGCTGCAAGAGCCTTGTACAGCATTTCAACTAAGCATGATTTCTACATTCAACATTTCAAATGCTTATCTTAGCTTGGAGCATCCATTATTTTTCCACAGAGGTGCTAAGTGCCAAGTTGGCATAGATTACTAAAAGCCTCTGAAATGGGCATAGGGCATGCTGAATTTAACCAAAATGTTCATTTTAAGGGTTACTTAAAGAGATACTCCGATGATTGCACACAGGAAATTCAGTTGTGAATGTTCCTTGTTGGGAATAATACTCTGACTCTAAAAACTGTTGTATATTGTGTTCTTTGGCTCTGAAGGGAGCATTCTAATTAAAAATAATAACCCCTGATAATGTCATCAGGGATATCTTGGCTTATGCTGGACCTTTAATGAAAGACACTATTGAGTACCCAGTTCACATTGAACAAACAAAATGTGGCCCCATCATTGTGGTGTCCCTAAAGGTTTTTGATTCTTATGTAAACCTTGTGTTTGCAGGTTGTCATCATGAGAGACTATCAGCACAGGAATGTGGTGGAGATGTTTAAGTCAGCCCTGGTGGAGGAGGAGCTGTGGGTTATCATGGAGTATCTACAGGGTGGAGCACTGACCAACATTGTATCTGAAACCAGGTATGTGCCCCCCCGGGAGAATATTTTAAGATTCATTGGTGCATTTCTGTTTGAGTTATGATATCATCTTTAATAACTACATCTACCACAAGGGGGTAGTATGGTATCGGCTGTTTAGGGAACAGTGATGGTTACTAACAGAACAAAGACTCACAAAGACTGTCATTCAGCCTTTCCTCTCACTCCAAGAAATCTTTTGATTACATAATCAAATCTGTGCATGTTTAGATGCCAGGTGGAAAGTCAGTTTTCAATGAGGATTTGATTTCCTGATACTTTGTCCAGTGGCGCATACATCAACATTAATGAAAAACACATCGACCTGCAGAAGGGAGTAGACTTTTAACAGGGCATATTTGTTTTGAGCTGTCAATGTATTTTATATTATTAACAGATGGCTGGCTCGATCGCCATGGGATGACACAGGGTCACATCGCTTGACTCAAAGGGCTGAAAAGATTTCTCTCAAGCCAGATGACATATACATTGAGCCAACTGTTTAGTCTGACACTGTTTGACAAACACTGAGATCATCACTATATTGACCGAACAATGAATAATTAGGGTCCTTTTCTTTTTCTGTTTTCCTTGGCTTCAGTCTGGTGTGAAATATTTGTTGAGGCTTATTTTACATTTTCTTTTAAATATGACGATAATCATGTTTAGGAGGATACAGCACTCTGATTTGTAACCCACTTTCTGTCAGCAAATGACCTTGCTTGCCGTTTGAAATTGCCTTTGTCTCCTGTTTGTTGCTTTTTCCCCCTCAAATATCAAAGTCACATTAACACAGTAATGACAATGTTTTGTTGGTCTTCTGCTGTGTGGGAGTCGTTGTTTTGAACCTTCCACTCTTTATTGCTGCTTTTAATGTGCTGTGACTCATTGATTTCAACTTTCTCGGCTGTTGATTTGTCGTAACTCATAATGGAAACATGTGAAATGTTAATGTAATATCTGTTTCTGTATGTGTGTGTAAACTTGTATGCGTATCATTGCGCAGGCTGAGTGAAGAGCAGATTGCCACGGTGTGTGAAGCTGTTCTGCAAGCCCTGGCCTATCTCCATTCGCAAGGAGTCATCCACAGAGACATCAAGAGCGACTCTATACTGCTCACTTTAGATGGACGGGTATGACATGTTGTTACACGTTCTTTTTTCCTCACTTTCTGTTCTTGAGTTTCTTGATAGTAAAGCATTTCTCTCTTCCCCACAGGTCAAGCTTTCAGACTTTGGCTTCTGTGCTCAAATCAGCAAGGACATCCCTAAAAGGAAATCTTTGGTGGGGACACCCTATTGGATGGCTCCCGAAGTCATCTCCAAATCACCATATGGCACGGAGGTGAGAAGGCACACATTCAAAAGGCATCCAGGCTGAAAAACAGTGGTGATCTCGCTCATGTAACATAAATGCCAACAGTGGCAATCTGTTCTGTAAGCACTGTTACGTTATTTAAAACGTGTGATTTTTCACCAGGTGGATATTTGGTCAATGGGTATCATGGTGGTGGAGATGGTGGATGGAGAGCCACCGTATTTCAGTGAGACCCCTGTAGCAGCTATGAAGAGACTAAGGGATGAGCTGGCTCCTACTGTCCGAAATTTCAACCAGGTACGGGAACAGACAGACATTAAGGTCACAACATAGTCTCTTTACCAACTACTGAATGGATTAATTGAATGTTTGGTAGACATTCATGCCACCCTCTGGATGATTTGTAATAATTCCTCAAAGAGAGTATATCTCTATCGCCAGGTTAGCATGCTAATACGCCAAGCTATGCTTTGTTTACTTTGTAACATCAAAGCTGCATAACATTATCATGATATAACAATATCTGATACAACCCACGTATTTTCATTGGTAGCATGTCACAATATTGATGGGAATATTCCTATGTTCCCAGGGCATGTGCGTCTCTTGATATAAACTAAAGATGTACAGTAAGTGATACAAAAGTAAATAGTTCAAATGGGGAAAAAGAAAAAGGGAGATGGATGCATTTTCACTATTAAAAATATGTTTAAAAATGTAAATTGACAGACAAATATATTCCCTGTTAAAATTGGGGACTTTTGCATTAGTAGGATATAAACTATGCTAGATTTCAATATATTGACCCGTGGAAATATATATGTTGAACATTTGACCTCAGGAAAAACATTGTTGAGGACATATAACCTTTCTAAAGGTCAACAGTAGCATTTAGATCGAAGCTCCGCTGTCAATATATAAAATTGACGAAATGTAGCAACTACAGCGACAATATATTGATGTTAAAATAAATATATCCATTGCTCTGTGCTCTAGATCTCTCCAGTTTTAAAAGACTTCCTGGACCGTATGCTGACTCGGGACCCCCTAGAACGGGCCAGTGCCACTGACCTGCTGGAGCACCCTTTCCTACTGCAGAGCGGGTCACCCCAGTGCCTGGTCCCGCTGGTAGATCAGTATCGCAAGCGCATGTCCCGTTGCTGACAAAGTGGGGATCCCACTCCCCGAACACTCAACTTCAGTCTGATCTGTCCAGGCGCGGAACAGCATCGAGGTCCATCTCCTCTAGCGCTCTAGCCAACAGGAGATCAGCTCCAGAGAAGCAGACCCAGACAGCATGTTGCTGCAATAGTGATGGTGGCAGGACGGCAAGTTTGGCTGACGGACACCGCATGGTCTCAGGCATGAGAGAAGCACTTTAGGAGCGAGTAGAAGGCAGCATGCAATTCCTCACCTCTGGGATCGGGTTTGATCCGAATATTGATTGGCTTCCTGTAACATTCAGTGGGATTCAACACTTCACAACATGGTGCATATCAGCAAAAGTCAACATTTCACATAACTATATGTAATGAACATGAGCTACTCTAAAGATCCTTTATAGTGTTCGTAGTGGGCAATATAGCCAGCAGTTTAAAGCTTATAAAGCTGTTGCTCAAACCACAGTAGCTCATTGTGACATCATTAGGAAGTATAAAGTTACCTCTGCACATTCACAGTCTTTGTTATGGAAACTAGACAACAACCTGGTCCGTACACTCTTTGCATGGCCAAATGGAGGCACACCTGGCCCAATGCGAATGCTTGAATATGTACCAAACTGGGATTCGAAAGACAATTCTCCTTTATTAGCATTATACATGGGTAGATGAAAGCCCAGCTGCTACTATTGGAAAAATCACTAGTTATATATTCCTCTTTTTCATATTTATTCTTTATTTCCAAATGGTGTTGTGGGTTGTTTGTATGATGTGAAGTCGCAAATAAGGTTTCATTATTTAAAGAACTTGAAACAAAAGCAGATAAATTAATAATGTAAATAAAATGCTGAATATTAGGTCCTTGTACCTGCTGATCTACTGCAGTAAATTATATGAGATGAATTCTAAATTTTACTTTTACTGAAATGTGAGTGTATAGTTGTATGTATGTGTGTATGTGTGCATGTGTGTGTGAGCACATGGGCACATGGATGTGTGTGAGGTGACATCTCAGTGTTTGCTTCTGATACAGCCCTATTTGTATTGTGACAGACTTTTTAAAAACCACAAGACGTGTGTGTTGCTCCTCCAGAAGATGTGTATGACTGTAATTTGCATTTGTTTGCCTAGATAAAGCACACAGGCCTGGCATGTGATGCTGCAGGATGTCCACCTGCTGCTGAGAAACACTTTGCACATCGTCTTTGTATTCTGACACGGATACATGTTGACGCGTTTCATGTATTTCTATTTCTGTGTGGGTCATTCGTGAAAAGAGAATTACACATTTTTATTTTGTATAAATCAATAAATGATGCATATGAAATTGGAATTAATTTAATCCAGCATTTCTCTTATTCACTCACACAAACATACACATGAATACTGGTATTTTAAAGTATTTATTAGGTATTCAGCATGATTCAGACATTGCACAGTGAATTTCTTCAAGCTTAATACATACAATATTTCTTATAAACACAGAAGCAATATCAAATCCATTTAATCCCATACAATATAAATGTTATTTATGTGTGTGAAACAAAAATAATTTCCATTGACTGATAATATTAATTTATAAATTATTTAAAATATATATTAGCAAAAATGTAAGCAGCTGTATGCAACTGAACAGATAACTTTGAAATATTTTTATTAAATTCACATTGAAAAAACACATGAACTGCACTCACAAGCAAAAGGTTAGTATTTCTCTCGATAAATAGAATATACGACGAAGCAATCAAATTGCATTGCTGTAAAATTGTCCCCACCTGCTATTTTTGTTGCGTGACTCTGTGCTAATTCTAATCGAGGGCGGACTGAGATGAGCAGCTTTCAAACTCACACTTCACTCCGCTGATGCTGTCGACGCTCGGCTGGCTGTTGACCTGCTGGTGTGTGTGCGAGAAGGGGAAGGTTTCCGAGCGGGAAATCTTCCCTCGGCCGTTTGAGGATCCAGATGAACAGTCTATCACCATCCTCATGAACTCTGGTGCGGTGAATCGACGCAGCAGTCTGGTCCCCAGGCCCATGAACCCCGGGGTGCGGATTGGGATCTCCCCTCTGGCAAACAGCAGCTTGTTGTGCCGGTCGGTCTGGCCCAAGCTCCCCCTCTTCTGCTGCTCTCTTCTGCCTGATGGAGCCAAGTCATTCGCTTCTTCTCTCAGTGATTTGACATTCTCCTCGAGTGCCCTCCCCAGCTGACTCTTGCCGTTTGTAAGAGGTTTTGGCACGGAGACAGTTTTGTCAGCATCATTTGTCAACAGGCCCCGGGTGTTCCCTTGACATTCAATCTTATCTATCAGGCATCTCTCATCCTGTAGTGAGGCTCTCTTTAATTTGCTGGCTGACAGGCTGATGTCGTGCACATCACCCTGATAAGACTGCTTTCTGCTGCTCAGAAGGTCCAGGTTAAATGACTTTGCTTTTCCCCAGAGAGGAAAACTTACTGGGGTTGGCTCTTGGAGTCCGGTGTCTTTCTGGCTTGGCTCAGGCAGAGAGTTCAGTGTTTTAGCTCTTAGCTCTCTAAGCTGGCAGTTCTGCAGTTGTTTAGTAGTGAAGAGTACTTTATGATCCCCCTCAGTCTTGCTTTTCTCTATCTGTGGAGGCAGAGCCCAGCTTTGGCGATAGTTGTCGTCTTGAGACTGGCTCCTTGGACATCTGAAGCGGTTCCACAGCCCGTTGCTGTCTCCAATCTTCAGCTGTCTCTGAAATACTTCGGGTAGTTTGTCTTCGTTGTTATTCAGCTGCTTGGAGAACCTCTCCAGAACATGCCGAGGAAGCCTTTTGGGCAGCTGGCACTCTCCTTCACTGATGGTCGCTGAATCAGCATGTGGATCATCTGTGCTGACGCCTCTCCTGCAAGGAAAGTTCAGAATCTGCAAACACCGTTTGTGTCCAAAAAATCTGGCCACCTCAATGGCGGAATGACCGGCGTTATTGGGTCTGTCCAGTCTCAGTCCAAGTCTTTTGAAAGCCCGGACAAGAAACTCCAGGACCTGGCTGTGCCCAGAAAAGGCAGCATACATTAAGGCGCTGTTACCCCAGGCATCAAAGACTTCTGGGTCAGCATTGAACTGCACAAGAACCTTGACAACGTCCAGATGACCCACCTCACAGGCATGGCTCAGGGCAGTGCGACCGTCCTCATCCTGGCAGTTGGCATCGGCCCCTTTATCCAGCAGCAGCTGGGTGAACTTGGCCCTGGTCCCGGGGTCTTGCAAGCAGACAGCATACATGAGCGGGGTGCGGCTGTTTTCTGTCTTAGAATTGATGATGCGTCCGTCCATGGCGTCCAGGATGAAGCGTGCGAGGTGAACTTTACCGCCGTGCATAGCATCTAAAAAGGTCTTGGTGCCAGAGCCCTGGCGTAAATCTTTCGGGCGCATCATTCTTGAACAGCTACTTGTGGAACCGAGCCTTCAAGTGAGCCGAGACAAAAAGGTGAAAAATCAGGAGAGGAAATGTGTAGCAAGTTCTTGGAGGCTCTCTGTGTTGACACTGACAGTGAGTGCTTTTACTTCAGAGTAAGACTCAGAGAGGAGCTGCCGGTGTTTTTATACCTCCCTCCCCACATGCTCTCCCCACGTTGCCTAGGAAACAAATGTCTGAGGACCATTATGCAGTGGGAGCATCCATTCAGCCTAAGCCCTCGCTGCGTGGAGAGAAATATATGCTATTTGAACAGAATAATTACTCATGGAGAAAAAAGATTCCAGTGTTTTACATTTGAGGTTAAATGAACTTAAATGCACTATTTTCACTTCTCTTTAGTATAAATTAACCTAATCAACAAATAACTGGTGCTGATAGAATAACGTTTTTTTTATACGGCATTGTGTTATGTCCCATTTAAATTCAAGGCAACACTGTTATCAGTAATCTTACCAATGGTTTGAGGAAACCTTCAAAAGGGAGGGAAGGGAAAATTAACATTTAGATTTTTTCTCCAGGATGCCTTTTAAATGCTGCATCTATCAATCCACCCTGTGGTTCTGGTTGTAGTTGGCTTCATCCGCAAATCATAACATAGAGCAAGTTCAAATTATTCTACTCTATTATGCCTGTCTCAAGGTTTTATATGAATGACTCTGCCTGGAGGTCTTTTTCTTTGTCATGGAAAATAGCAAATCCAGAGAACTCCACAAGAAAATACTTTTTTATTGGCTTATGGATGTTATGGAGGACATCAGCATGAGTATGTTTTGCTTTTGATGAAGTAAAATGACAAACTTCCTTTTGTTTGTTGTGGTATAGTATGTTTACCATTTGTCATTTAAGCACACAAGCTGCTCTTTTCTGCATATGTAAAATAATACTTTTTTCGCTAACAGTCTTCAAACTTACTGAATGTTGTGCTATTACCTTCAAAAGCACCACATTTAAACACTTGTCTCCTGCATCTTTTGTCAAGGCTTGCATACGAAAAGTGACATGGACCCCTTGTAAGCAGCTGTTCTCACCCACAAGATCAACATTTCATTTTAATTGCTAATATACATCTCAGCAGGGCCATAGCTATGCAAAACACTAGAGGTGAGAGAAATATTGCTGAGTTTCCACCTTCTTCACTGTTCCCCATCCGGCTTCATTAAACCCTCAGCGGGTTATTTATACAACACTGAGATTCATTCACTCATCTAAACATGGCTGAAATTCATCAACAGTCTTTCAGTGAATGGAGGATTCTGTTACAGAAATATTTTCATGATGAACAAACATCATCACCACATCATTTTAAAAGAAAGTCATATCATGGCAACATCTCAACAGGTTTAAATACTTATAAGGCCACTCAATATTTAGCTTTACAATGCCCAGATATTATGGTCTTCGTATCGATACTTTCAAAGCGTATTTTACATAGAAAAGTGGAGAGTTGAGACTCTTTCCAGTTAATAAAATAGCAAACTTGAGTCGACAGACATTGTTGCTTTGAGCTCAATGTTAACATAAGGCAATGACATTGCTCACATCTTGGCTTAATCTTTAACATCTTTTCCATTTTCCTTAAGTGAGTTAGCATGCTAAAGGCACATTAACTCCTGTTCCAAATGTAAGGGCATTGGCTGGTCTGCGTTATTCATCCAAGTTGATTATTGTAAGCACTGCACTGTTTCTGGACTAAAAGATGAAAACTGAACTCACTAACATGGTGCTTTAAACTGCTAGATAAAACAAGTTTACAGTGTTATAATATACACTGTCACTGTCTCACTGTTAGCAATCATCAACTCCTGGCCTTGTTTGCATGCTTTGTGGATACAAAATTGCATCCTGCAGAAGACACCTCTAGGATGTAACTTATGCAACATACATTGTGTGTTGCACAGAGCTTGATAAAACTCGAGTGCTTTAGTTTGAACGCTCTGAGACTTAGCTGCTTTTTCTGAGGACAGTTCCTCCACAACAGATTTGAGCTGCCTGGACTGCATGAATCCTTTCAGGCAGGCTGAAAGCTACACTTGAGTTTTGGTGTACGTGTATGAATCAAATTAAACAGTTAATGTTGAGGTGTAGATGTCAAAACTTCTGAGCTTCATGTTCACTTATTTTCCATTTTCACAATCACTTTAAATACTGTATATATTTTTGGTCCGCTGATGCGCACCAAAGGTTACAGGAAAGAGCAAATGCATATCTCATTGCATGATATTTGATATGACCGTATTGCCTTACAGTGTTTTGAATCGGTATACAGAAAACTGTCAAATTATATATTTGAAATTAAACACTGTGCCATCTATTCACTGAAGGTAGAAAATGGGCCAAGCGGAAATGAATTAAATGTGGATGAAATATTCAGAATGTGAATGAGTTGGTACCATGAGACTTGCTAATTGGGCAGATGTATGCAATAAGGCAGAGATGTCATGGTAAATACCTGATCTCCCATTCATTGCGGGCCTGGCCCAAGCAGAAGCCACTTTGAATGCTTGATTAGAAATTAAAGCTAGTGTCAAGTTAAGATGTTATCCACAGCAATAAATGTCTTAATTAGTCGCTTGGGAGAATGCACCTTCAGTGCCACTAAATCAACAGGTTCTGTAGAGGAAAACTAAAGAGACTAAAAACAAAACACTGAGCTGAACCCCCCTGGTAACTCCACTTAGCTACCCACACCTGGGCCTGAATATGCGTATGAGGAGATGGTAGGAAATTAAGTTCAACGGCGAGCAGATTCAACAAGTCCATTGCAAAAATGTTTCTCAACATGCCCTCACATGCCCTCATCCTCCATGGACTTCTTTATATTCTGCCAGCCAATTAAGAACACCTGAGAAGGACTGTGACCTTTATTTTCCATGTCTTGCACACATTTGTTACAAG